GTTGGGACAATCCCAAGCACAAACACAGGCTGGGCAAAAAATGGACTGAGAGCAGCCGTGCAGGGAAGGACCTGGGGGCTTGGCTGACAAGAAGCTCAATGTGAGTTGGCCGTGAGGACTCACAGCCCAGAATGCCAAACGTGTCCTGGGCTGCATCACAAGCAACATGGCCAGCAGGGCAAGGGAGATTCTGCCCCTCTGTTCTACTCTGGTTAAATCCCATGTGGGGTGGAGTGCTGCATCCAACTCTGGGACCCCCAACACAAGAACATGGACCTGTTGGAGAGGGTCCAGAGGAGGCCATGAAGATGGTCAGAGAGTTGGAGCACCTCCACCACAAAAATAAGCGAAGACAGCTGGGGCTGTTCAGCCTGGAGAAGAGGCAGCTTTGGGGAGACCTTACAGCAATTTCCAGTACATAAAGGGACTACAAGAAAGCTGAAGAAGGACTTTTTAAAAGGACATGCAATGATGGCACAAGGTGTAATGGCTTTAAACTGAAAGATGGCAGGTTTAGATTAGATATGAGTAAGAAATTATTTACTGTGAGGGGGTGAAACACTGGAATATGTTGCCCAGAGAAGCTGTGGATGCCCTTTCCTTGGAAGTATTCAAGACAATGTTGGATGCGGCAATGGGCAACATTATTTAGTGAAAGGTATTCATGCCCATGGACTAGAGGATCCTTAAAGGTTCCTACCTGGATCCCATCCGCTGTGCTCTGCCCTGCAACTCCCCAGGCTGTGTAAGGAGAGCCGCTTTCCCACTTTTCTCATTTAAAAAAATGGGATTTCAAGGGTTTGGAAAGGCTCACCTGCCACACCACAAGACTGCCTGCTGAAAATAAAATGTATTTATTTCAACAAGCTATGGAAAATATATTATGGATGATTAGACCAGCATGAAACAGGGGCCAGGAAAATTTGTGAGGTAAGGAACTTTCAGTGTTAAATAAAGGTGAATGTGCCTTGTACTAGCTGTAGATTGTTTGCCTTAAAGTTATCCCTTTTATGGTAAGCTATTTCCAGAGTAAAATGAAAATGCTATATTTATAAATAAATATGTCTATATCAACAAAAAATAAGTCTGCATCAACAAAAAATATGTCTACATACATAATATGTCTACAGGGTTGCAGCATTGGGGATAGGGGAAGAGTGTTTGACATTATCTACTTTGCCTATGGAAAGCATTTGAAGCTGTACAGCCTGACATCCTTCTCTAAACTGGAGAGACATGAACTTGGTGGATGGGCTCCAATGGATAAGGATCTGGCCGGATGGTCACACTCAAAGAGTTAGGGTCAATGACTCAATGTCCAAATAGAGACCAGTGATAAGCAGCATTCTTCAGGGGCCAGTATTGGGACTGGACTGTTTAACATCTTTGTTGGCAACGTGGACAGTGGGATTGGGTGCACCCTCAGTTGCTTTCCTGATGACACCAGATCTCTGGTGCTGTCAAGATGCTGCAGGGAAGGGATGCCATCCAGAGGGGTCTTGCCAGGCTGGAGTGGTGACCCCATGTGTACCTCATGAAGTTCAAGAAGGCCAAGTGCATCATTAGCCTGTGAGTTGGGACAATCCCAAGCACAAACACAGGCTGGGCAAAAAATGGACTGAGAGCAGCCGTGCAGGGAAGGACCTGGGGGCTTGGCTGACAAGAAGCTCAATGTGAGTTGGCCGTGAGGACTCACAGCCCAGAATGTCAAACGTGTCCTGGGCTGCATCACAAGCAACATGGCCAGCAGGGCAAGGGAGATTCTGCTCCTCTCTTCTACTCTGGTTAAATCCCATGTGGGGTGGAGTGCTGCATCCAGCTCTGGGACCCCCAACACAAGAACATGGACCTGTTGGAGAGGGTCCAGAGGAGGCCATGAAGATGGTCATAGAGTTGGAGCACCTCCACCACAAAAATAAGCGAAGACAGCTGGGGCTGTTCAGCCTGGAGAAGAGGCAGCTTTGGGGAGACCTTACAGCAATTTCCAGTACATAGAGGGACTACAAGAAAGCTGAAGAAGGACTTTTTAAAAGGACATGCAATGATGGCACAAGGTGTAATGGCTTTAAACTGAAAGATGGCAGGTTTAGATTAGATATGAGTAAGAAATTATTTACTGTGAGGGGGTGAAACCCTGGAATATGTTGCCCAGAGACGCTGTGGATGCCCTTTCCTTGGAAGTATTCAAGAGAATGTTGGACGGGGCAATGGGCAACATTATTTAGTGAAAGGTATTCATGCCCGTGGACTAGAGGATCCTTAAAGGTTCTTCCAACCCAAACCATTCTGTGAGTCTATTATTCTATTGGTTACACGCTCATTTAACCAAGGTACCCTTGCATTTGTCTTCCGCAGTCATCTTGATCTCCTAAGGCAGCACTTTTTCTTCCCATGTTCAACAATCAGCACTTTTCCCCAGGCAACAGTGATTTTTCCAGTGTGTTCCTGTCACTCACACCTCCTGGAAGTTGGTGTTGGAGATGTTTGCAAGGATGTGAGTCCATCTGATGTGCCATGGGCATTTCCAAGAGAAGACATGCCAAGCACAGGATTCCCAGTACGATTCTCATCGCCTGCTGTGTACACTTGGTGGTCACTAACTCTGTTACTATCTCCTGCCTTGGTTCCTGAGTGAGCACAGGAAGAGGGGGAGCATGAAGTGACAAGTAGACACCTGCCTTGCTGTCACTGGTCATCTCTTAAACATGCTAAAGATTTTCCTCTGGTATATACATTTGCTGTGATTTCCTGTGGGGAAGAGCCTGGCTGGTAGTCTCTGGCTTGACTGATACCAATAGACAATATGTTCCCAGCCTTTTCAAAGACATTTGACTGGGTTTTTCTGCCTTGTTTGTCACTCTGTCAGATTTGTGAGGTCTGGAAGTGCACATGAACACCTCATTCCATCTTGTGCTGCTGCTAAGGACACCTCAAGCTGCATTCTCCTTGAGCCTGGGTGTCACTGCACTGGGAACTGTCCTAAATCAATAAGTTTATTCCCCTGTGTTGGTTTTTCATGGCCTGGTTTTTGGTAGTGAGGGGGGCCACAGAGGTGGCTTCTGTGAGAAGCTGCTGGAAGCTTCCACCATGTCCAGCAGAGCCAGTCCCTGATGGCTGTGAATATGGACATGCTGCTGGCCAAAGCTGGACCAATTAGAGATGATGGTAGCACCTCCGTGATAATGTATTTAAGAAGAAACCAAAACAAAGGTGGGGGCACAGTTTTCATTCCAGATGGAGAAGAGGAGCAGGTGAGAACATGTGAGGGAAACAACATGGGAACACCAAGGTCAGTGGAGAAGCAGGGGAGGAAATGCTCCAGGCACTGAGATTCCTCTGCAGGCTGTGGTGAGATCATGGTGAGGCAGCTGTGCCCCTGCAGCCCTTGGGGATCCATGGGGAATGCAGAGATCCACCTGCAGCCCATGGGGGAGGTGCCCATGCCAGAGCGGGTAGATGCCTGGAGGAGGCTGTGATCCAGTGGGTGGCTTGGTGGAGGGAAAGGCCCCCTGCTTCCAGGCCAGAGCAGCCTGTCCTTGGAGGACTGCACCCCAAGGAAGAGTGACCCATGCTGCAGCAGTTTTGGGAGGACTGCTGCTCATGAGATTGGAACCACGCTGGAGAAGTTCACAGCGAATTTTCTCCTGTGGGAGGGACCGCATGGACTCACAGGGAAACAACCTGTCTCCCTGTGCAGGGAAAGAAAACCCTGGGTGATGAACTGACCAAAACCCTCACCCCCCGTCTCCCTGAGCTGTCACCAGGATGGAGGGGCTGGGGGGAAAAAGGTGGTTTTGAGGGCTTATTTTACTTCTCATTATCCTGCTCTGATGCTGTTAGTAATAAACTCGCTTTGTACCTCGAAGTTGAGCCTGTTTTGCCCTCGGAGTGTTTCCTCCTGTTCCTTATCTCAGCTAATGAACCCTTTGTTACATTTCTCTTTCCTCTGTCCAGCTGTAGCAGGGGAGGTTGAGCGAGTGGCTTTCATGTGTGCCTGGCGTTCGGCCAGTGTCAAGCCATGACATCCCCCCAGGTGACATTGCCCTGGGAAGGTGCCTCGCAGCACCAGGTGTAGTTAGAGTGCGCTTGTCTCTGGGGCACAGAGAGCACAAACAGGCCAGGGCCTGGGGGACCCGTGATGAGTCTGTGCTCCGCTCTGGGCTGATGGTGTTTACCTGGGCAAACTGCACTCTGACAATCCGTGGGACTGTGTGAACAGGAATAGGGCTTTGGGACCACACAAATGACAACGGCAAGTTTGCTCCAAGGAGGGGAATTCCTCATAGGAATAATCTGCTGCAGCTGCGCACATTTGGCCGTGTCACATTTATTGTCCCGATGACCTCTACAGACCTCTGAAAGAAAGTCTCTCCTTACTGCTTTTGTCAGCAATATGCTTTGCAGTTTTTGAGATTTGATTTACCAGGATAGAGAATTGCATTTAAGTTTTGCCACAGTATTGCTCTGTTGAATTCAAAGGTCAAATAAGGTACTGCCAAGAAAACACAGCAGCATAAGGTGGAGGAATACTATGACAAAAAAAACAAGAAAAAATTAAAGGGGGCATCAATAACTTAACTGAAAGTGAGGCAGCTGTTTAAAAAAATAATACAAGTTTTACCATTGGGACCAAGCATTCAGTCAATTCAAATTTATGAGAACAGTCTGTTTGATAATGCAATTTGGGCAGTAAAAGGCTGTATCAACAGTATGATCAATGCCTTGAGCTACAATCAAATATGTGATATTTAGGTACAGGCTGCAGGTGAGAGTTTGGCCAGGATCAGTGCAATTATCAATATGCTCACCAAGACTTTAGCACTGGTTGAGTTAAGCCTGAACCCACTTTTACTCAACAGTGAAACTGGAAGGAGATAAAATCTTACAGGAGATATCCATGAAAAAGTCTCAAAATGCATAAAACATTCTCTGGATACACAGAAACATGATGAAAGGGCAATATTTATCTACACTAAACAGTACATAAAACAGACCCACTGTTGCTTGCAAGAGTTTCTTTAATGGTACCAACACAAAATGGATTAGAGACAGTAGCAGAAGCCATGGTATCGCAGAGGCATTTTAAAACAAATCACAAAGAATGTGACAAAAGCAGAGGCAGAGATCTAGGTCTTAAATTTCTTGCTGGTGCTGCATCTTCCTTAGCTTTGGAGGATTTGCATTCTAATAAGAGCGGCCAGGGCGAAGGGGACGCAGGAAGGAAAGCTTGTCGTTGAAATTGATTGCCTTGTAATTTGGAAGGTTTTCATGTTCTCGAGCAATGTATTGAATTCCACTTCCATCACTGTGCTCACACAGCAGCCAGGCACCTCTCTGGACTTTGTGGGAAGACATGATGTCATTGTCGTGTCCTGCAGCCAGGTTGGTTGCTTCTCGTACTACCCTGCTCTTCCCTTGATAGTTGGAATGCTCATAGAGAGTGATCTCAGGATTGCTCAGATCGTCAGTGATCATCTGCAGAGAACTGACCTTGTTATTAATCTTTGAACTAAAAAAGCTATGGTCTCCCTCCTCAAGTACCAGAAACTGGCCTCTGTAGTTTGAATGCTCATAGAGCACCCAAGGCTGGCCAATTACTTTTGCCGAGGAGGCAAGATCATTCCAGTCTGCATCTCTTAAATTGGCAATATCAGAGGTGAATTCTTTGGACAAACCCTGGAAATTAGCACGCTCATAAAGGATGATTCTTCCCATCTCAGAAGGAATTCTAGAGTTTGAATTTCTTCCTCTAAGGGCTGGATGACAGCCTGCACAAAAGGAAGACAGAAAACAAGCAATGCTTGTAAGAAGCCTTTTGGACCTTGAAACAAAATGATGGACAACCAGAAGGGGAAAAGGAAAAATAAAACATTTTGAACAAAGAATAAACATAGAGGTAACTGGAAAAGAGTGAGGTCATGACACGTATGTGTTGGTTGAGGTGCATACCCAAGATTAAGTTGTAAAAGACTGACACATTCATCTCCCACAACTGTGTATGACTGGCCCCCTCCACCCTCTCCCTTGGTGAGGTTTGTTTTCCTGCAGCAGCCATCCATCTCCTCATGCCCTGAGATGGGTTCAGGCTCTGCACACACACACAGCAGACCCTCACGGCTCTGCTGCAGCTCTCAGCCCAACACTAAAGCCTCCTTCCCTTGGCCTGCATTTCACAGCAGCTGCCCAAGAAACCCTTCCAGCCCTCCTGGGCACAGGGTGCCTCTTACCTTGCTGTCAGCTGCAGGGCTGGGGAGAGCTGAGGGCAATTCCTCCAGTGCAGAGCTGCAGTTTGGGAAGGGTCTCTCATCTCCCTGTATTTATACTTGCACAGAAGTCTCACAAAGCACCCCAGTCAACGGAACTGAAAGTGTCCAATATTACCCCCGGGATCAAAACTCATTATCCATTATATTTTGCTTTCTATTGTCCTACAACCAGATACCTTCTTCCTCTTCTTCAAAAGTCCATTGAAGCATGAGTGACTTGATGAAACAGGGGAAGTTCAGGTCTTGCTTGTCCTTCTCCTCCAGAAGAAAATCGAATTACAGTAATAAAAATGTATCAAAGTATTTTGTGACGCATGTGGTGTAGGTTGTTTCTGCCTGTTGGAGGTTACAGCTTTGCTTTTCTGGGAAGAATATTGAATACACAGCCTTAGTCTTTCTAAGAGGTTTTTTTGGGAAATATCCAGGCAGCAGAGAGGACATTTAAGTAGTTTTTTTTCTTTTTTCATTTGCCTTTTGTCCTTAGGATCACAGTATTATTATACGTTGGAAAAGACCTCCAAGACCTAACCTTTGACTGAATGCCACCATGCCCATTAAACCATATTGCAAAGGACCATTTCTACTTGTGTTTTGTATATTTTCAGGAATGGTGACCCTACCACTTCCCTGGGCAGCCCATTACAAATTTTAACAATGTTTCAATGAAGAAATGTTTCCTAATATCCAGCCTTGACCTCTCCATACACAACGGAAGGCCATTTCCCCTTGTCCCTCCCGTGCCTGGGACAAGGGCTAAACCCCCACCTAGCACAAGCTCCTCTCAGGTACCGTCAAAAGTAAATATATCTGCCCTGAGCCTCCTTTTCCCCAGGATAAACACCCCCAGCTCCCTCAGCTCTTCCTCATCAGACCTGTGCTCCAGACCCTTCACCAGCCTGGCTGCCCTTCTCTGGACTCACTCCAGCCCCTCCATGTCTTTCTGCAGTGAGGGGCACAAATGAACACAGCTGAGATGGGTTCAGGCTCTGCACACACACACAGCAGACCCTCACGGCTCTGCTGCAGCTCTCAGCCCAACACTAAAGCCTCCTTCCCTTGGCCTGCATTTCACAGCAGCTGCCCAAGAAACCCTTCCAGCCCTCCTGGGCACAGGGTGCCTCTTACCTTGCTGTCAGCTGCAGGGCTGGGGAGAGCTGAGGGCAATTCCTCCAGTGCAGAGCTGCAGTTTGGGAAGGGTCTCTCATCTCCCTGTATTTATACTTGCACAGAAGTCTCACAAAGCACCCCAGTCAACGGAACTGAAAGTGTCCAATATTACCCCCGGGATCAAAACTCATTATCCATTATATTTTGCTTTCTATTGTCCTACAACCAGATACCTTCTTCCTCTTCTTCAAAAGTCCATTGAAGCATGAGTGACTTGATGAAACAGGGGAAGTTCAGGTCTTGCTTGTCCTTCTCCTCCAGAAGAAAATCGAATTACAGTAATAAAAATGTATCAAAGTATTTTGTGACGCATGTGGTGTAGGTTGTTTCTGCCTGTTGGAGGTTACAGCTTTGCTTTTCTGGGAAGAATATTGAATACACAGCCTTAGTCTTTCTAAGAGGTTTTTTTGGGAAATATCCAGGCAGCAGAGAGGACATTTAAGTAGTTTTTTTTCTTTTTTCATTTGCCTTTTGTCCTTAGGATCACAGTATTATTATACGTTGGAAAAGACCTCCAATATCTAACCTTTGACTGAATGCCACCATGCCCATTAAACCATATTGCAAAGGACCATTTCTACTTGTGTTTTGTATATTTTCAGGAATGGTGACCCTACCACTTCCCTGGGCAGCCCATTACAAATTTTAACAATGTTTCAATGAAGAAATGTTTCCTAATATCCAGCCTTGACCTCTCCATACACAACGGAAAGCCATTTCCCCTTGTCCCTCCCGTGCCTGGGACAAGGGCTAAACCCCCACCTAGCACAAGCTCCTCTCAGGTACCGTCAAAAGTAAATATATCTGCCCTGAGCCTCCTTTTCCCCAGGATAAACACCCCCAGCTCCCTCAGCTCTTCCTCATCAGACCTGTGCTCCAGACCCTTCACCAGCCTGGCTGCCCTTCTCTGGACTCACTCCAGCCCCTCCATGTCTTTCTGCAGTGAGGGGCACAAATGAACACAGCACTCGAGGTGTGGCCCCACCAGTGCTGAGTACAGGGGGACAATCCCTGCCCTGCTCCTGCTGGCCACACCACTGCTGATCCCGGCCAGGTGCCATTGGCCTTCCTGGCCACCTGGGAACACTGATGGCTCGTGTTCAGCCCTCTGAAGGTGTGGATGCCCCATCCCTCCAAGGGTTCTTTAGGGTCCCTTGCAGCCCAAACCATTCTCTGATTCTGTGACATATGTATTCATGCATATATTTATGCACAGTAATGGATGGGCATGGTACTATCATAGATAATAATCAAAACCATCAATATTGTTGTCTCAAAAGCAGAAAGAAGGTCACAGTGTTGAACCCAGAAACAGGATGTAAATCAAGACCTTCTGGCATGGTGTAAAACCAGCTTCAAAGTCAGAATTTTAAAGCAGAAGCATGGCAAAAGAAACATAGATATTTGCAGATATCTATTTTGCATTTAATGCCATTTTATTTTAAATAGTGCTTTATACTTTCAGTTTTGAAATTAAATTAATTGAATCTGATTAGACATGGTGTTTCTTTCACAAACATGTCAAGCAGCAATCTTGTATTGCTAAATATGATCCTAAACATTTTTCCAATTCAGACTGAAGTAAACATTTTTAATGTTTTTGCTCTATCAATTTTTTCCATTACTGTCCATGGACCACCAATATTATTTCTCCTTATTTCCCCATCCTCCTTTATTTTTTTCTCCAGATGGGTACAAATTATTTCCTACATCAAGTTATTGGTTCTCCCAGATGCCACACTATGTTCTCAGTGACTCCTTCTGGAACTCTGCTTTGCAGAAAACAGCATCCCATAAACTCCTCTGCTGGGAATTCCGTAGCATGTGTCCCCAGGACTGAGCCTATCCTGTCTCTGGTCACTGTCTTTCAAGGTGCTTTGAGCTGACTTGTTCTGCTCTGGGGTTCCTGACCACTTCCAAGCACCAGAAACACCATCTGATGAGTTACTGAATTGAATTCAACTAAAAATAAATTGTAGAATCAGCTCTATTTCTGCATTTTTAAATAACTGCTTTTGGTCACTTATCAGTAGGAACTTACTTTATGGGATCATGCTACTAGAGGTTGTGCTTCCTCCCTGCTGGTTTTGGAATTAACTCACAGGCATTCTGGGCAGCATTAAAAAGTCATCGCTAGAACACTTCCCAGAATCAACTCTGAACCCTTGTCATGTTCAACCTTTTGTCCATTGTTTAAAATATTTCTGGTTTGTATTTTCATAAAATGTTTTATGTTGTCACTTTAAATTCTCATGAAAATCTATATTCGCATAAAATGAATTTTTAGCACAAAAGTAACACAGGATGTGAAGATGCATTCTCTGTTTCTTTGACTGGTTTTTAATTTCTGCTTGCATTTGTATTGAAAGACACTATGATGTCCTCTCGGAGGAAACAGTCTGCAGCGGTCCAACCACTATCACGAAGAGAAGGTAGGGAAAAGTTAGAGAGAACTCTGGGACCTGGGTCACTGGGGGTCATGTTGGGTCTAGGAGTGTGTCTTCCCCAGGCTTTGAGCGCAGCGTGACAGAAGCAGGGTGTGGTGCTTTGGCAGGGAAGCCGTGGCTGGACTTGCATTAACACCTCAGAGGCAGTGACAAGTGACAGAGAGGGTGATACAGGGCACGGGGTCCACAAAACCAGATGGAAAAGGCAAACTGCACAGGCCTAAACCTCAATGGATTGTCCTGTTGTGCCTTGGTGTCTCTCCTCCTTCAATTACCAGCTCTACAGGCGTCTCCTTCTGTCCTGCTAAGGCACATCTTACACCACAATCTTCCACCACTTGTGATATTTAAAGTGTGGGAAGACAAGTTTGTAAGGATATGTGGAACGTGACAGCCTCTGTTTCATGAACTTTATCAAATAAAGACATATTTTGTTCGAGAGAAGTCATAATGGAGGAGCTCATTAGACCCACTGAGTCAATGTCAGTGCTCAGAAATCCTCATCAGGACAGCACTGCTCTGACAAGGCTGAATGGGATGGACAAGGGACATTGATCATCTTTATTAATAGCAGGATTCATCAGGGGCAATATGGCTCAGGAAATACTGGGATTTGCCTGTCTTGGTCCTTATGTGATGAGCTTGAATGGTCCAGGGAGCCAGGAGGATTGTAGCACTGGTGGGTAATGGAAGTTGGAAGTGACCTTTGGTAGCCATTGGATCCAGTCAGCTGCTTAATACAGGGACAGCTGTGAATTATGGTTGTTGGTGGCTTTATCCAGTCAGCTCTAGAAACCCTCTCAGTATGGAGACTACACAACATTGGAACACAAGCCCTATGAAAAAGAACTGAGGTAGCTGGGAGTGTTTAGTCTGGAGAAAAGGAGACTCAGAGGTGACATTATCACTCTACAACTTCCTGAGAGGTGGGTGTAGTCAGGTGAGGGTTGTTTTTTCTTCCAGACAGCAACTGGCAGAACAAGAGAACACAATCTTAAGCTGCACCAAGGGAAATTTAGGTTGGGTGTTAGGAAAAAGTTTATACGGAAAGAGTGATAAAGTACTGGAATTTTCTGCCCGGGGAGATGGTGGAGTCACCATCCCTCAGCCTGTTTAAAAACAGGCTGGATGTGGCCCTTGGTGCCATGGTTTAGTTGATGTGTTAGGGCATGGGTTGGACTCTATGATCTCAAAATTCTCTCCCACCCTAGTGATTCTGTGAATTCTGTGAGCTCTAGTGGGGTGATTTAAAATTGGCCAACCTCACTGAGAAAATGTTTCTCAGCCATGGAAGAGAAAAGGCTAAGGGAGGTGCACATAAAAGGACACCTGGAAAAGAGTCTTATCTGGGAACAGGGTAGCTCTGATGGAAAGTAAGGAAAAAATATATGACCCTAAGGGGGTTTCAGGACTGACAGAAGAGCCAGAGACCCTGTGGAATCTCCACCCTTGGAGCTGTTCAGAAATTCAGTGTTCAGCTGTTCACTTGAAGATTGCCATGAGCAACTTGATCATGTTTGAAGGTAGCTCTGCCACAAACAAGACCTTGGACTAGGGAGGTCCCCTCTACACTAAATCTTTCTGTCAGTAATTCTAAGGATGATTTAAAAGCCTTTGTCATTCTCTGCCTGATTTCATCCTTTTTTCAATTTCAATGAAAAAATGTCATCATCAAGTCATGTGTACAATAATTTAGATGATTTCTTGTGCCTTTATAAATAGCATTTCCCAACATCAGATTTCCCCCCCAATTGCTCTACAGGCTCTCAATCGTTACTAATGTTTCTACTACCAAGAAAAGACAAAAGATTACCTGAGTGCACATATATTACACCTTAAAGTGAGACATTGCAAGAATCTTCAGGTGATAGTGTCAGAAACAAGGAAACATCAACAAGGATGTTCTTACATATTTATTTTTTTACCATTTTATGAAAGCACTCCAGAATTTTGAATTCCCTCCATATATGTGGCTTTTTTTCCCTGTCCTTCACGACATTCAGGTATTATCCACTGCACGCCTGAGAAGCAGCTAGAAAGGCTCTGTTCTTCTACCCTTTCATGCCACAACCATAAACCATCCAGCCTTAGCTGTGAACATGCTAAAGCTTTAGCAGAGACTTCTGTCTACACAGCCCTACACAGCAGGATAGGGCAGAGTTCCTCCTCAGCCACCCTTGCAAAGCACAGGACTTTGCAGGGACTTGGAGCCATAAAGACTCATTGTGCTGATATTCAAAATCTGTAAGTGTTGCTGTAAAAAGAGGTACCATAGATGTAAAAAGAGGAACACGAAACTGAGAGACTGGGACCTGAAAGGACATAGGGTCACAGCAAGGTTGACTGTATTGCTGAATTTGCACATCCTAGAATCACGAAATGACAGAACGATTTTGGCTGAGAGGGATCTTAAGCATCATCTAGTTGTGCACCATGCAATGAGCAGGGAGATTTTCCACTAGACCAGGTTGCTCAAAGCCTTGTCCAACCTGGCCTTTGATGGAGCATTCACTGCTTCTCTGGGCAAGCTGTGCCAGTGCCTCACACCCCTCATCA